TTTCTCTTAGTTCTGGCTCTGTATTCTTTTTGTCACGGTAGAGAAAGCCAACTGATTTTTGTATGTTGATCTTGTATCCTGCTACTTTGCTGAATTGATGTTTTGTACTTTTGTATAATAATTTTGTGCCAAGAAGTGTCCTATTTACCAGCATTAAGAGATCAAACATAGTACTTCCTAACTTCTCTTGGTATAATTATGGAACAACATGTTTTCTTTTTTTATAGTATTTTTTATTATTATTAAGTTTAATGAAAGTTTACAGAGACTTTAGATTTCCATTCATTCATTGTTGCATGACATGCTTTTCATGATAATTTTTTTCTTAGTGATTTGAATGAAAATTTACTCAAGACATACCGAATTCCTGTTCATACATACTTTATAATGTCAATTTCAATACTCACAATGTAATCATGCTTTTCCTACTTCTTCCCTATAATTCTCACTTCCATTAATCCTTATGGATTTTTTAGAGTGGTCAGTGGTGGTAACTAGGCACCATCTAGTTCTGGTCGCAGAGTCATGGAAGTTGAACTTTGTGTGGTCTATTAATTTTTTAGACTAATTATTTCTATACATGTTTGCTTTTCTCCTCTTTTCTTTGTTGTGGACAAGGAGAGACCAGTAGTTGCACCTTAGATAGCTACTTGCAAGCTTTTAAGGCCCTAGTCCTTACTCATCAAAGTACAATATATAATATTGTCTTTGTAGACTATGTTGTACCAATTGACTTTTCATGTTCATTTCTTTCCAGTGAGGAACAAGTAGATGTAGAACTTGTGCAACGTGGAGACATCATTAAAGTGGTTCCAGGAGGTAAATTCCCTGTGGATGGTCATGTTATTGAAGGACATTCTATGGTAGATGAGTCCCTTATTACAGGTATGTTCTTTAAGAGGATCATGACATGAAACTGATGTGAATCCAAATTGTCAGTTAAAAATAGCCATAAATGACCTACTACCAGGAGAAGACAAAATAGATGAATGGGACCTTTTAAGAATAAAATCCCTTTCCACATCCAAAAACTTCTCCAGCAGGGTAAAAAGGGAAGCCACAGACTGGGAAAAAATATTTGGCAATGACATGTCTAATAAGGGACTTAAAGCTAGAATTTATAGAACACTTGAGTGCCACAACAAGATAAACAACCCAGCTGAAAAATGGGCACAGGATATTAACAGACACTTAACCAAAGAAGACATTAAGATGGCAAACAAACACATGAGGAAGTGTTCAAAATCCCTAGCTATAAGAGAGATGCAATTTAAAACAACTATGAGATATCATCTCACCCCAGTAAGAATAGCAAATTTAACAGAGCAGCAAACAACAAATGCTGGCAATGTTGTGGAGGAACTAGAACCCTTATTCACTGTTGGTGGGAGTGTAAAATATTGCAACCGTTATGGAAGGCTGTGTGGCACTTTCTCAAAAAGCTGCAAATAGAAATACCATTGGACCCAGCAATTGCACTACTGGGAATATACCCTAAAGAAACTATAACTGCTACCCAAGCTGATATATGCACATCCATGTTTATTGCTGCTTTGTTCACAATAGCAAAGAGTTGGAAACAACCCAAGTGCCCATCAGCAAACGAATGGATAGAGAAGCTGTGGTATATTCACACAATGGAATACTATG